ATTTGGGATGATTTGTTGTCTATTCATGTTTTCCACAGATACAGGGTACATCAAGTTGATTGTGAAGCTTTAATCCGCTGGTTCTGAAGCTGCTGGGAGAGATTTCCCTTTCTCTTCTTTGTTCTCACAGCTCCCGGGGCTCAGCTTTGGATTTGGCACCGCCTCTGTGTGTAGGTCGCCGGAGGGCGTCTGTTCTTCGCTCAGACAGGACAGGGTTAAAGGAGCAGCTGATTCGGAGGCTCTGGCTCACTCAGGCCCGGGGGAGGGAGGGGCGCGGAGTACACGGCGAGCCTGCGGCAGCAGAGGCCAACATGGCATTGCAGCAGCCTGCGGTGCGCCGTGCGTTCTCCTGGGGAAGTTGTCCCTGGATCCCAGGGCCCTGGCAGTGGCCGGGTACACAGGCTCCCCGGAAGGGGGCTGTGGATAGTGACCTGTGCTCGCACACAGGCTTCTTGGTGGCGGCAGCAGCAGCCTTAGCATCTCATGCCCGTCTCTGGTATCTGCGCTTTTAGCCGTGGCTCGCTCCCGTCTCTGGAGCTCCTTTAAGCAGCGCTCTGAATCCCCTCTCCTCACGCACCAGGAAACAAAGAGGGAAGAAAAAGTCTCTTGCCTCTTCGGCAGGTCCAGACTTTTTCCTGGACACCCTCCCCGCTAGCTGTGGTGCACTAACCCCCTGCAGGCTGTGTTCATGTCTCCAACCCCAGTCCTCTCCCTGCGCTCGGACCGAAGCCTGAGCCTCAGCTTCCAGCCCCGCCCGCCCCGGCGGGTGAGCAGACAAGCCTCTTGGGCTGGTGAGTGCCGGTCGGCACCGATCCTCTGTGTGCGAATCTCTCTGCTTTGTCCTCCACACACCTGTTGCTGAGCTCTCCGCCGCGGCGCCAAAGCTTTCCCCCTCCGCCACCCGCAGTCTCCGCCCGCGAAGGGGCTTCCTTGTGTGTGGAAACCTTTCCTCCTTCACAGCTCCCTCCCACTGGTGCAGGTCCCGTCCCTATCCTTTTGTCTCTGTTTATTCTTTTTCTTTTGCCCTACCCAGGTACGTGGTGACTTTCTTGCCTTTTGGGAGGTCTGAGGTCTTCTGCCAGCGTTCAGTAGGTGTTCTGTAGGAGTTTTTCCACGTGTAGATGTATTTCTGGTGTATCTGTGGGGAGGAAGGTGATCTCCGTGTCTTACTCTTCCGCCATCTTCCCCTCGTCTCTCCACATGGAAATTCTTGAAATGAAAAGATCAACAACTGAAATAAAAAATTCACTGAATGGGCTTTACAGCAGATTGCTGATGGCAGAAGAGTTAGGGAACTTGGATTCATCAATAGAAAGTGTCCAACTTTAAGAACAGAGAGAAAAATATTAAAAGTGCATAGAGATTCAGTGAAATGAAGGGACATTGTTAAATTGGTTAACATACATCTAACTGTAATACATGGTTAACATACATGTAACATCCTGTCAAAAATCCTAGAAGGAGGGCTTCCCTGGTGGTGCAGTGGTTGAGAGTCTGCCTGCCGATGCAGGGGACACGGGTTCATGACCCAGTCCGGGAATATCCCACATGCCGTGGAGCGGCTAGGCCCGTGAGCCATGGCCGCTGAGCCTGCGCGTCCGGAGCCTGTGCTCCACAACGGGAAAGGCCACAACAGTGAGAGGCCCGCATACCACAAAAAATATATATATATATCCTATAAGGAGAGGAAGGATGGGGTGAGGGGGCAGGAAAATCATCTTTTTAAAGATGATGGATAAAATTGTCCAGAGTTTGAGGGAAGACATAAACTTAACAATCTAAGAAGTTCAGGGAACTCCAAACAGGGTAAATACAAATAAAACCACGCCAAGCACATAGGCACACTTCTGAAATCAAAAGATAAAATCTTGAAAACCTCCAGAGAAAAGACATAATGTAAAGGTGTGTATGTTTTTTATATACAAGAGAACAGCAATATGATTGACAGCTGACTTCTCATCAGAATCATTGGAGGCCAGAAGGCTTTTAAAATGCTTTAAATGCTGGAGGTAAAACTTTTCAAACCAAAATTCTATATCTAGCTAAACTATCCATCAAAAAAACTGGGAAAAAATAGACATTTTCAGAAATATGAAAAGTGAGAGAATTATGTTCCACTGACCTGAAGGGTAAGAAATGCGAAGAAGTTTCTTCAGACTGACAGGAAATTACATCAGGTGGAAAACTGGACCTAAAAGTAAGTGTGAAGAGCACCTTAAATGATAAATATGTGGGCAAATTCTAAAAACTAAATATATTTATTCTCAGTTTTCTTAAAAGACATTATAATTGTTTAGGGTAGAAATTGTAACATTGTATTATAGGGGTTCAAATATATTGTAAATGTTAATATATATAACAGCAGTAAGGCAAAGGATGGGATAGTGGTAAATGGAACTATACTAAGTGAGGTTCCCATATTTTATGTAAAATACTACAATATTAACTGTAATATGTTAAAGATACCATTTTAATTTCTAGAACAATTATTAAAGCAATAATGCAAAGATGTATACCTAAAAGGCCAGTTGCAAAGAACATAATTCTAGAAAATATTTAATTAACCGAAAGAAGGCAAAAAAGGAACAGAGGAACAAAAAAGCAAACAATACTAATTAAAAACGGGAAAATAGTAGCTCTACATCTAATAGTAACAATTATATTAATTTGCTGTACAGCAGAAACTAACACAAAACTGTAAAGCAGCTATACTCCAATAAAAATTAAAAAGACAATTATAGTAAGTGTAAATGGAGTAAACACTTAAATTAAAAAGTAGAGATTATCAGAATAGTTTAAAAAGCAATACATAGCTACATATTGCTAAAAGAGACACTTTAAATACAAAGAAACAGATGGGTTAAAGTAAAAGGACTGAAAAAGACATGTTATTTAAACAGTACTTAGGAATAAGGGGTATAAACTATATTAGTAACAAACAAAATAGACATCAAGATGAGGATTACTACTAGAAATAAAAAGGAACATTTTATAATGATAGGAGAAATTCATCAGGAAAATATCATAAATATAGCTGAGGATTTGCATAATCAAGCTTCAAATACATAAAGCAAAAACTGATGGAGAAGTAGATAAATCCACAATCATAACTAGAGATTTTAACACCCCTCCTCCTAATAATTGATAGAACAACTAGATACAGAAATCGCAGAATAGAAGATCTGAATGAATCTGTCAACAATCTATTGATTTGTGGAGAAAAAAGCTCATCAGTGGCAAAATACACATCTTTTCACACTATGTAGAACATTCACTAAGATATGCCATATGCTGGGTCATAAAACAAGTAAATGCATTTCAAAAAATCAAAATCTTAAAGTATGTTTTCCGACCATGCAGAAGTAACTTAGAAATTATTAATAAGATACCTAGAAAAGTCCAAAATATTTGAAAATTAAGCAGTATCCTTCCAAATAAAAATGTCAGCAAAAAATCATAAGATTAGAAATATTTTTAACTGAATAATAATAAAAATACAGCATACCAAAACTTGTAGGATGCAGCTAAAGAATTTGTTAAAGGAATATTTGTAGCTTTAAGTGGTTATAATTAGAAAAGAACTCCAATAAAGATTTTTTAAAAATTTTTAATTAAGAAAAAGACTCTAAAATTAAAATTCTATGTGTGCTTGAAAAGAAAAAAAAAGGTTTATAGTTTGATCTAAGCTTCCACCTTAAAGTAGAAAAAAATATGAGCAAAACACAATAGAGAGGCTTCTCTTTTTAAATATTTGTATTATCTGTCAGGAGTTCCCCTTTTTCATTTTTAATACTGGTGATGTCTTCTCACTTTTTCTTTATCAGTCTTGGCCAGTGTTTATTTTATTAGTCTTCTCTAAGACCCAATTTTTGGCCTTGTTAACCCACTCTATTATATATTCAATTCTTATTTCATTAATTTCTGTTTTCACCTGTATTATTTCCTTCCTTCTACCTTTGGTTTATTTTGATGTTCTTTCCCAGCTTTTTAGGTTGGATGCTTATATATTAATTTGTAAGCCTTTTCCATTTTCTAATATGTTAAATTCAGGGTGTAAAATTCCTTTCATGAGCTGCTCTCGTTGCAACCCACATATTTTTGATACGTGGCTTTATTATCATTCAATTCCTAATGCTTTTAAATTTCCATTGTGATTTCTTCTTTGACCCTTTGGTCATTTAGAATTTTTTTTAAATTCCAAATATATGATGATCTCCTAGTTATCATTTTCTTATTGATTCCTGTCTTTGGTCACTATGCTCGAATCTGTGCACCTTTATTCAATTTCTCAGCCTCTTGGCCTCTTTCAGAATTGGTAGTTGATTGAAGGGGAATGGACCCAAACACAGAGCTTCTTTCCCTGGGTCTACTTCTCATCCAGGATTTTCTTACCATAATTCTCTTCACTGCTTTGTTGATTCTTCAGTGCCTTCAAATTAATTCTCATCTATTTTGTCCAGCTTTACTGGCTGTTCTCAGTAAGAGGCTTGATCCAAATTATCTAGTCTGCCATTACCAAGTGCAGAACTCCTGCTGATGGTGACTTAATTGTTTTAAGACATATATAAAGAATGGATATGTGGATAGAGAGATCAGTAAAAGACCAGTGTGAATAAAAAAACAAAACTTTGCCCAAAGAATAGGATGAAGAGGAGAAATAAGATGATACTTGTATTAGTCATCCATTGTTGTATAACAGATCACCACAAACTTGGGGACTTAAGATAACACATTTATTATCTCAGAGTTTTTATGGGTCAAGGATCCAGGCATTGCTTAGCTGGGCCATCTGCTTCAGAGTCTCCAACAAGGTTGCAATTAAAGTGTCAGCTAGAGCTGGGGTTGAATCTGAAGGTACAACAGAGTACATCTGAAGGATCCCCTTCTAAGTTTATTTACATGGTAGTTGGCAGAATTCAGTTCTTTTGGAGCTATTTGACTGAGAATCTCAGTGTCTAGCTGATTGTTGACTACATTTTCCTTGTCACATAGTTCTCGCCATGGGGGACCTCACAGTATGGCAGCTTGCTTTATCAAAGCCAGCAAGTGTGAGAGAATGCTGGCAAGATGGAAGTTATGATCTTATGGAATGAAATCAAAGAAATTATATTCCTTTACCTTTGCCATATTCTGTTGATTAGAAGCATACCATGGTTCCCACCCATAATCAAGGAGAGGGGATTATGCAGGATGTGAATACCCGGAGGTGGAGCTCATTCAAGGCTATCCTTTACTTTGATGGCAGCAGTATTTACTCATGTATGTAATTAAGTTCTCCTTTTCTCTGAAAACCTCAGAGAAAAGGGACAGCAGACTAGAAAGACAATATAGTTGATATATGACAGACAATTTCAGGAAGAGCAGCAAATAAAACATCAAAGCCTAAGTAACATGGAAAACAAGGTTTCAAAGAAAGAAATTATGGTTAGACAAAAATTGAACTATGAAACGATTCCTAACCTCTTCTAAGATTTAACTTGGGAGTAAGAATTCCATGAAGCTATATAGCTGAAGAGAAGCAGGTCCACCTTGAGGTCTTGAATGCTTATGTAGAAAAAGAAAACAGTATTTTGCATGATGTGAATTGGTTTTGCCTATTATAGTCTTCAGAGAATTTTCCATGACTTACAATTTTCTTCATTAACATTTGATATGTTTTTCAGATTTATTTTTTATTAAACATCTCAGTGTAACTTTGAGGGTAGAGGATGTATTCTTTTTATCAAAGTATGTAGTTGCATTACAGAACTGGGAAATGGGAAAAAAAATAGGCCATTTTGTTCTATTCTTTGAAACTAATTTTCTAGTTTACCTGTAGAGTTCATGAACAATTACATGGCTGGAAATCGATTTTACATATATTAAAATGCACAACTGTGCTAATAGATTTTTTATTTTTTTAATATAGGATCCAAATGAAGATACAGAATGGAATGAAATTTTAAGAGATTTTGGCATTCTTCCTCCAAAAGAAGAGCCAAAAGATGAAATTGAAGAAATGGTTTTACGTTTACAGAAAGAAGCAATGGGTATAGTTGTGCATTTGGTGGGCTGGGTGAAGGGAATAATACAGTTATGACAGTGATCATGTATTTCATGTATTTAGAGGACATTAGAAATAATTTAATATAAATCCCACCCATACTTTTGAAATTAGGATGCTGACACCTAAAATTTCTAATTCATGTATTGAAAGTTACATGCTAGTTAATATCAGAGCTGAAATGCCCTGATATCTAATCTAGTGAGCTTTTTTTTCCTCTATCATATTTCTCTACCTTGTGATTACTTTCTGTTTTGATCATTCTATATAAAATGTATTATTTGTTAAAATTTCCAGGTACTTGAGGAAATCTAAATTTATGAGGTCTAATTGATTTTCACATCTGCTTTTAAATGCAGCCTGGTAGTTCTGTGAACTCTGAGGGAGTAATAGCACTTTAAACAAACCTGAAGCAGTCAGCCACAATATAGTTTATATGCTGGAGAAACTGCAACATTAAAGATATTCTTGATCTCCATTTATCTAATATATTGTTTTTTCTAGACATGTGACTCTAAAGTAAAATTGGCTTTTAAATAACTCAGTTATCTACAACTTATTTTGTTTTAGTTAAACCATATGAAAAGATGACTCTTGCACAGTTGAAGGAAGCTGAAGATGAATTTGATGATGAAGATATGAGTGCTCTTCAAATATATAGGTACAGTGATTCATTTGGATAATTTATGAGTTTTTGAATGAAGTATTGTAAGAATGAAACGAAGAAAAAGTCCTTTTTTGTCTACAGACTATATTTTAAAAAGAACAAAACTAATTTTTAACATTTTAAAATTAACTCACCTTATATAAGATGGATTTTTTTTTCTTGACCTTTTTTGCCTTTGCTTAAATAAAAAACTATTCAGTAATATACAGTAGAACTTCATCAAGTTACATGTGAATAAAGTGGAAAATATCAATAGAAGGCCAATAAAAAGAGGGCCATGGTTTTCCTTCTAGGCTGATGTTTGTCAAGGGTTTCTGTCATTTAATGAATAATTAATTACCAGTCATAAACAAATTCTTTCAGAAATTAGAACAGGTGCATAGGTTTCCCAACTTATCCTGATACAAAAACTTGACAAAGAAATTGCAAAACCAGAATGCTACAGAAAAATATCTCCTATAAATATAGGTATGAAAAATTTTGACAAAATGTTAGCAAATTAAGTCCAGCAATTTAAAAGAAGAAGAATACATTCCAATCAAGTGGGATTGGTCCCAGGAATAAAAGGTTGTTTTCACACGAAAAAAAATCAGTGAATTGTGTTAGAAGCAGCAATACTCTGGTAGCAATGAACACACCTAGAATTCAGCTCTTGATTCACAATACTATTCTCCAATAAAAGGAACCAGTGATTCTTTTTTTTTTAAGATCTTTATTGCAGTATAATTGCTTTACAATGGTGTGTTCCTTTCTGCTTTATAACAAAGTGAATCAGCTATACATATACATGTATCCCCATATCCCCTCCCTCTTGCATCTCCCTCCCACCCTCCCTATCCCACCCCTCTAGGTGGTCACAAAGCACCGAGCTGATCTCCCTGTGCTATGCTGCTGCTTCCCACTAGCTATCTATTTTACATTTGGTAGGGTATATATGTCCATGCCACTCTCTCACTACGTCCCAGCTTACCTTTCCCCCTCCCTGTGTCCTCAAGTTCATTCTCTATGTCTGCGTCTTTATTCCTGTCCTGCCCCTAGGTTCTTCAGAACCTTTTTTATTTTTTAGATTTCATATATATGTGTTAGCATATGGTATTTGTTTTTCTCTTTATGACTTGCTTCACTTTGTATAACAGACTCTAGGTCCATCCACCTTAACTACAAATAACTCAATTTCATTTATTTTTATGGCCGAGTAATATTCCATTATATATGTGCCATATCTTCTTTATCCATTCATCTGTCAGTGGACACTTAGGTTGCTTCCATATCCTAGCTATTGTAAATAGTGCTGCAAGGAACATTGTGATACATGACTCTTTTTGAATTATGGTTTTCTCAGGGTATATGCCCAGTAGTGGCATTACTGGGTCGTATGGTAGTTTTTAGTTTTCTAAGGAACCTTAGTTTCTTAGAAAAGGAACTTTAGTTCCTTTAGTTCTGTTTTTAGTTTTCTAAGGAACCTCCATACTGTTCTCCATAGTGGCTGTATCCATTTACATTCCCACCAGCAGTGCAAGAGGGTTCCCTTTTCTCCACACCCTCTCCAGCATTTATTGTTTCTAGATTTTTTGACGATGGCCATTCTGACTGGTGTGAGGTGATACCACGTTGTAGTTTTGATTTGCATTTCCTAATGATTAGTGATGTTAAGCATCCTTTCGTGTGTTTGTTGGCAATCTGTATATCTTCTTTGGAGAAATGTCTGTTTAGGTCTTCTGCCATTTTTGGATTAGATTGTTTGTTTTTTTGATATTCAGCTGCATGAGCTGCTTGTAAATTTTGGAGATTAATTCTTTGACAGTTGCTTCATTTACAAATATTTTCTCCCATTCTGAGGGTTGTCTTTTTGTCTTGTTTATGGTTTCCTTTGCTGTGCAAAAGCTTTGAAGTTTCATTAGCTCCCATTTGTTTATTTTTGGTTTTATTTCCATTTCTCTAGGAAGTGGGTCAAAAAGGATCTTGCTGTGATTTATGTCAGAGTGTTCTGTCTATGTTTTCCTTTAAGAGTTTGATAGTGTCTGGCCTTACATTTAGGTCTTTAATCCATTTTGAGTTTATTTTTGTGTATGGTGTTAGGGAATGTTCTAATTTCATTCTTTTACATGTAGCTCTCCAGTTTTCCCAGCACCACTTACTGAAGAGACTGTCTTTTCTCCATTGTATATTCTTTTTTTTTTTTTTTCGGTATGTGGGCCTCTCACTGCTGTGGCCTCTGCTGTTGCGGAGAACAGGCTCCGGACACGCAGGCACAGTGGCCACGGCTCACAGACCCAGCCACTCTGTGGCTCCATTGTATATTCTTGCCTCCTTTATCACAGATAAGGTGACCATATGTGCATGCGTTTATCTCTGGGCTTTTTATCCTGTTCCATTGATCTATATTTGTTTTTGTGTCAGTACCATACTGTCTCGATTACTGTAGCTTTGTAGTATAGTCTGAAGTCTGGGAGCCTGATTCCTCCAGCTCTGTCTTTCTTTCTCAAGATTGCTTGGCTATTCGGGGTCTTTTGTGTTTCCATACAAACTGTAAAAGTTTTTTGTTCTAGTTCTGTGAAAAATGCCAGTGGTAGTTTGATAGGGATTGCATTGAATCTGTAGATTGCTTCGGGTAGTAGAGTCATTTTCACAATGTTGATTCTTCCAATCCAAGAACATGGTATATCTCTCCATCTATTTGTATCATCTTTAATTTCTTTCATCAGTGTCTTTTAGTTTTCTGCATACAGGTCTTTTGTCTCCTTAGCCTAGCTATTTTATTCTTTTTGTTGCAATGGTAAATGGGAGTGTTTCCTTAAGTTCTCTTTCAGATTTTTCATTAGTATATATATTCATTAGTATATAGGAATACAAGAGATTTCTGTGCAATCGTTTTGTATGCTACTACTTTACCAAATTCATTGATTAGCTGTAGTAGTATTCTGGTAGCATCTTTAGAATTCTCTATATATAGTATCATGGCATCTGCAAACAGTGACGGCTTTACTTCTTCTTCTCTGATTTGGATTCCTTTTATTTCTTTTTCTTCTCTGATTGCTGTGGCTAAAACTTCCAAAACTATGTTGAATAATAGTGGTGAGAGTGGACAACCATATCCTGTTCCTGATCTTAGTGGAAAAGGTTTCAGTTTTCACCATTGAGAACGATGTTGGCTGTGGGTTTGTCATATATGGCCTTTATTATGTTGAGGTAAGTTTTTCCTCTATGCCTACTCTCTGGAGGGTTTTTATCATAAATGGTTATTGAATTTTGTCAAAAGCTTTCTCTGCATCTCTTGAGATGATCATATGGTTTTTCTCCTTCAGTTTGTTATTATGGTTTGTCACATTGATTGATTTGCATATATTGAAAAATCCTTGCGTTCCTGGGTAAACCCCACTTGATCATAGTGTATGATCCTTTTAATGTGCTGTTGGATTCTGTTTGCTAGTATTTTGTTGAGGATTTTTGCATCTATGTTCATCAGTGATATTGGCCTGTAGTTTTCTTTCCTTGTCTGGTTTTGGTATCAGGGTGATGGTGGCTTCGTAGAATGAGTTTGGGAGTGTTCTTCCCCCTTCTGTATTTTGGAAGAGTTTGAGAAGGTTTGGTATTAGCTCTTCTCTAAATGTTTGATAGAATTCACCTGTGAAGCCATCTGGTCCTGGGCTTTTGTTTGTTGGAAGATTTTTGATCACAGTCTCAATTTCAGTTCTTGTGATTAGTCTGTTTATATTTTCTATTTCTTCCTGGTTCAGTCTTGGAAGGTTGTGCTTTTCTAAGAATTTGTGCATTTCTTCCAGGTTGTCCATTTTATTTGCATATTGTTGCTTGTAGTAATCTCTCATGGTCCTTTGTATTTCTGCAGTGTCAGTTGTTATTTCTCCTTTTTCATTTCTAATTCTATTGATTTGAGTCTTCTCCCTTTTATTCTTGATGAGTCTGGCTAATGGTTTATCAATTTTGTTTATCTTCTCAAAGAACCAGCTTTTAGTTTTATTGATCTTTGCCCTTGTTTTGTTTCTATTTCATTTATTTCTGCTCTGATCTTTATGATTTCTTTCCTTCTGCTAACTTTGGGGTTTTTTTTTTTTCTTTCTCTAATTGCTCTAGGTGTAAGGTTAAGTTGTTTATTTGAGATGTTTCTTGTTTCTTGAAGTAGGATTGTATTGCTATAAACTTCCCTCTTAGAACTGCTTTTGCTGCATCCCATAGGTTTTGGTTCATCGAGTTTTCATTGTCATTTGTTTGTAGGTATTTTTTTATTTCTTCAGTGATCTCTTGGTTATTAAGTAGTGTATTGTTTAGCTTCCATGGGTTTGTATTTTTTACAGATTTTTTCATGTAATTGATACCTAGTCTCATAGAATTGTGTTTGGAAAAGATATTTGATATGATTTCAGTTTTCTTAAATTTACCAAGGCTTGATTTGTGACCCAAGATATGATCTGTCCTGGAGAATGTTCCACGAGCCCTTGAGAAGAAAATGTATTCTGTTTATTTGGATGGAATGTCCTATAAATATCAATTAAGTCCATCTTGTTTAATGTATCATTTAAAGCTTGTGTTTCCTTATTCATTTTCATTTTGGATGATCTGCCCACTGGTGAAAATGGGGTGTTAAAGTCCCCTACTATGATTGTCAATTTCCCCTTTTTATGGCTGTTAGCATTTGCCTTATGTGTTGAGGTACTCCTATGTTGGGTGCATAAATATTTACAATTGTTATATCTTCTTCTTGGATTGATCCCTTGATCCATCATGTAGTGTCCTTCTTTGTCTCTTGTAATAGTCTTTATGTTAAAGTCTATTTTGTCTGATACAAGAATTGCTACTCCAGCTTTCTTTTGATTTCCGTTTGTGTGGTATATCTTTTTCTATCCCCTCACTTTCAGTCTGTATGTGTCCCTAGGCCTGAAGTAGGTCTCTTGTATACAGCATATATACAGGTCTTGTTTTTATTTCCATTCAGTGAGCCTGTGTCTTTTGGTCGGAGCATTTAATCCATTTATGTT